AAGTGATGCAAAGAGGGGCTCCTGCCATCTCTAATCTGGGGATGATTCTGCTGCTTAGGGCATCTCAGGAAAACTGACAGTGAGAGAATCATGTTCTAAGATGCAAGTAGATCCATGCTGTCTCCCTAAATAAGTGCCAGGCACAGAAGCTTGCTTGGGTTTCTGGGCAACTGACACCCAAGCTGTACCTTGATTACAGACTGGATCCATAAAATCATTGCACACAACAGGGCAAAATGATCTTTAAAAGTCAGTGATTCTAGATAAAGTGTTCACAAGCATTTATTGTGTAATTTTTGAAATTTTTTCTGTGGGTTTGGAATATTTTTAAAGCAAAAAATACTTTGAATTGAACAAGTACAAGCAAAATAAAGGGAAAATTTTTTTAATCAAGGTATGGGACAGTGCACAGAACAGCGCTTATAGTTAACTACTATCTATTTACACATAAAAATGTGAAGGAGGTAGCTACATGGATGTGTGTGTTAGTAACTGCCTAGAAGCTTTCTGCTAATTTACACACAAAACAAAAATAGTTGTTGAATCCAGGGAAGAAAATCGAAGGTGAAGAAATTAAAAGATACTTCATAGTAGACCTTTTTCACATTTTTAATTTTAAGCTATCTTTATCCATTTAACCATCTTTGTACTGGTCCCCTTGACTGATAAATATTTCCTGATCTCCTCCTCCTTGTGAGTTTCTATCCAGGCTCAAGTCTAAGTCCAGAGATCACCACCTTGCTGAAGCCTCCCCCACTTTCCTCTAGAATCAGCCTGGGTCTGCCTAGACCATAGATCCAAGCCACAGATCTGCCATAGATCCATGGAACTGTCTGGAAGTGACTCTGTTCTATGGTTGTTTGTCTACCAGCTCCATCACCAGAACAAAAGCTCTTCAAAGGCACGGACTTTGGTTTCATTATTATGTTGATACATAGGAACCTGGTACATAGCTCAAGAAATAAAATAGGAATGGTTCTCAAGGGATGGTTGAGAAAGTAATATATCAAAGAGCTCCAGCTTCCTTTCTTTAATCTTACCTGAAATTCACCATATATATTTAGATGTGCATCACTGCCTTAGCTACAGCCAGATAAGTCTCCTGTAGAACATAAGTGGAGACTTAGGAGATGACCACACCAAAAAGAAAAGAAAGAAAGAAAGAAAGAAAGAAAGAAAGAAAGAAAGAAAGAAAGAAAGAAAGAAAGAAAGAAAAGAAAGAATGATTGTGGAGGGGCCAGCGAGGCCACTTTTTTAAAGGTCATGTTGTCATGTTGTATGCAATACAAATTGCCCTCCAACTTCTTCCCATCCAACTTAATTAAGACTGAAAGTCAAGGTAAAAAGAAAAGAAAGACATGTTGATCAACAGAAGTACCACAGAGCTCTGCTCAGGAATAGAGATCCTCTTTCTTCCCATTTTTAAGCACATGACCCTCAGCAAGAATTTTTAGCCTTCACCAGTCAAAGCTCTGGTGACATAAAGCAAGGTCTTCACTGTAGAACATGGAGCACAGTGTCTGGCATGTGGGTGTGAACAATAAGTCTCACTTGTCGTTGTTATCATTGGAAGTGGTCTCTGGTCTCTGTCCAACAGTTAAATAAAACAAGATCAAAGATCCACCAATTTGGTTGAGATTGTTCCTTTATTTTTAGATTTTGGACAGTGGCAAAATATCCACTTTGTCTAGCCTGTAAGAGCTTCATGTAATTGTTCACTAGATGCAGTAGTGACGGTCACATTTTACATATGGAAGAGCTGCAGAATATGGTCAACAAGTGAACTGAGTGTCTATTTATGATTCCAGTGACACCAGCTATAGACAGATACTTGGCCTCCTTCTCCACAGTGGCCTATATCCTGAAATAGGAACTGTGTATTCACAGACAGCCCAGCAGGCACAGAGGGTTAGGCAGCTGACTGCCAACATGGACATCTCAAGCTGCCAGGGACAATGCTGAGCCCTGTGGATTCACCAGCATAGGTGAGCTACTCCCCAAGCAGCTTTTGGAATTGACTTCTATGCAAATGAGATAATTGAGTGACCCGTGACCAGGGGCCCCTGCTGAGGATTACTCAGCAGGGTATCAATGTGTGACAGTCTTATTTTGCTAAAGCCACATTACTTTCACTTTTCTAAGACATTCATTTTTGGACTGCAGGAGCCTACAAAAATAAATAAATAAATAAAACAGCAAATTGCAAGTCAGAGAGCTATCCTGTAGCTCCCAAGGTAATTCTCCCCTGCTCTGAGAAGGTACCTAAGTTATACAGGTGTGCCAGGAATGAAGCTTAAGTCTATTTTCCTGGAAGTTAGCTAGAAAGCCGATCCTATCTGTGAACCCAAGCTACTCCATCACATTTTGTTTAAATTCTCTCCTCTTAGTCCTACACACTCAGGTTTTAACTGCTATAAAGGAGCTACTTGACTATAAGCTGTATAAAGCTAGGGAAAATGCCTTTCATCTTCACCTGTGTTTGTGGCAAGTCAGAGGTATCAGATCAAGAAACTGGCATCCTGACTGGGGATCAAGAATCAGAGATGTGAGCTAAAGTTGTTAATTAGTTTTGTTTTGTTCTTCCCAGATCTTAAAGCAGAAGCATGAATATGCTTTTCTTTCTCCAAGGGCACAAAATTCCTCTCCTTAAAACCAGAAGCCTATCCTGAACCACCAAAAGGGTGTTCCATCTGTATCAGATCTTTCTTTATTTCTAAAGGGGACCTTTGACCAGAAACCTCTGATATCAATGCTTATTCTACAAGTGCTGAAAGATCTAACTTTTTCTCTGAGCATAAAAGCTATGCAAAGCTCTTCAAAATGGGCTATTCTTCATTTCTAGTGGAAAAAGAAATCCAACAGTTTCCCTAGAAGTGAAATTAAATTCAAGTACTTTCTATTTAACTTTTGACTCTGTTTCATTGAAACCTCATTCTAATTGTCCTTGTAATCTAGAAAAATAGGAAATGTCACTCAAATATCCTATTGAAGAATTCAAAGGGCTGAGAAAATGAAGAGGCCCATTTGGCTCAGCAGAAATGAGATGATCATCATTCACAGGCATATCCACAGGAGAGACACATTTTGCCAGCTGAACCAGGCTTCACAGCAAGTGAATGCAGTAAATGTGAACACTAGAGGAGACAGTCATACAATTTCCAAATCATGCTGGTGCATTTATAGGGAAGTCCAGCTTTGCTTCCAACTCAAGTGTTGTCATTCATTGTTTTGGTTGTTTTTTTCTTCCTAACAAATATTGAACAGGGTGTGAAAGCAAAATCTGAAGACTCCTCAAGTTGAAATTTTCTCCCAAAACAGACACTCCTTAATATATGAAAATCACATACATGGGAAATCTTGGAAGATTTATGTACAGTGATGGCAAGAGATGACCATGTGTTTAACAACAAGAGTGTAGGCTGCAGAGAGAGCCTCTAGATTAATTTGGAAGAAATGATTTTGTCTATAATGTACCAGGTTCATTCAGAGGACAGGCAGAAGAGGAGAGTGGTGAAAGACACCAGGTCCAGATTAAGTTAAACTCTCCACTGACAAAATTTCAAGGATAAAAATGACAGCATACTGCCATAGACAACTTACTTACCTTCTCTAAGACTGAATTTTCTCATTTATAAAATTTTGGATATTAACAGTACCTACCTTGTCTTGCAAGGATTAAGGAAAGTTGTACCTTTAAAGACTGACTCTGACATAGGCCAAGCATACAATACATATTAGCTTATATTATTATGGCTTTTCTTTCTGTGACTACATTAGTCTCTCTTCTTAATCATCTATTAAAAACACACTGAAGGTCACTATTTATTTGATTAATAAAGTATTATTGGATATATACTTTAGGCCAGATATAGTGGCAGCATTTGGGAGCAGAGTGGTCCCAAAATAAATCCTGCTCCCAAGAACTACAAGATCAAGTCAGTGAGACAGGCAGACAAAGGGCTCAGCTTGCATTTGGGTGATAGCAGTCAGAATAGAGAAAAACAAAGGTATTTCAGAGATAACTGAGAGTAAAACCAACAAGAATCAATAGGAACAAACTCCAATTGGAGGTGAGGAACTGAGAGGCATGAGAGGTACCTCTCATGTTTTCAGTTTTGATGAACTCTGATGCTATCGATGAAATGTGGGAAATGGATCAAGGTGAAGTTTTAGAGGAGAAAATCATGACTTGCTTTAGACCTGTGCATTCAAGGCATCTTTTGGACAATGTGGACATGAGCCACAGACACGTGGCCAGGTAGGTCTAGAATATGGAGTGTGGAAAGCCATGCTGGCAGGACCAATTTGAAAAATCCAAGCTGGCTATTTGGTTATCTTGTGAAAGTTGCTCTGGTTACCAATGACTAGATGGAATGAAGGTAAATGAATATGTAGAATTCTAAACCTTAAGACCTGTTAGAGACATGGTATCACCCTTTGGCTCACAAAAAAGCTCATTAACCTAAGGCCACACAGACAATGAATAGCAGAGCAAGGTCTAGGGGTCAAAATCCAGGCTCCTGGCTTATGATCAAAGCTCTTCCCTTTCGACATCTAAACATTTCAGCCTCTTATCAATCTCTTTGCATTGTGGGATATAAGCCACTTTGCTCCTATTTTAAGAATTCTTTTCAAAAGAAAGAAAAGGGGAAAAATGATGCATAAATCATTTCAATCTTTCTATTCAGCCAATTCCTTGCTAAAGATTTATATTACCTTTAGTTTCTTCTCTCCTCAATAGTTTATATACTCCAAAATATTATCTTACCTGTACTGGCACAAAATAGGTGTTCAATAAAGAGAACCCAATAATGATGACAATGAATAATCATATTACTTGAAGCCCAAGAAGATAAGCTTTTTCTTCCTTCTCAGGTTCTACTTTGGACCTGGTAGGCATTTCAAAGCAAGCCAGTTTGAGGAATCTCTCCAGTAGATAAAATTTCTATCTCTATGTAATTAGTAAATGTGAATTACTCAGTAATGTTGGTTCATCTTACCTTCTTCACCCATTGGATACTTGCTGCCAATTTCTATAACACACTCCACCCATCTGATTGGTCACTCAACAGATGATGACAGGAATGAATGTCACGGGGCCACCAAGCCAAAATCACAGTGATTTCTGCAAAAGGTGAAAGAATAATTACTAATGTCTAGATGACATAAATCAATAAAATGATCCACTGTTTTACAATGGGGATATGCAGCTACATAAGACAAATTTTTCTCTTTGGAGATAATAATCAAGGCATGTAAAGAAGATATACAACAATTACTACAATTGTGTGAATGATGGGAAAAACTTGTTGTGGATTTAGAGGTACCAGGAAGGTGTGATTAAACATACATATATATTTGATACTTTGATTAAAAAAAGAATATCAAATATCCAACTACTTGTCTTGTTAACTTTACACACATTTGCTCTAGCACTAAGATAAATCTGTGGCACTAGATATAAAGTTTTAGAAACAATTTCTTGTAGAAAGTCTATTCTGAAGCCAAAGTCCTAAAGTGAGGAGCAGTGTTCTGGAGCTGTCAGATCTTCCTGGAAAAAGGAATGAGGAACAAAGAGTAACAGTGGTGTTGGTGATGAGAGATGTCATCCTCAGTCTGAGCATCAGACTGACAAAGCTGCAAATCTTTATCCAAGTGGCATTTCCCCTCACAGCTCCACACTCTGGATGTGCTATGTGGGACTGTGTTCTGCCTGGGTTCTGGTCTGACTCATCTTCACATCTACCAAAGCGTCTAACACATTCCCTAGCTCAGAGCAGCTGTTCATCTATTTGATGAATGAACTAAGTGAAGCACATGGAGTGGCCAAACAGCTGTTATCTTTCAAAACTGAGCCACTGAACCAGGAAAGGTGCTGCTGGCACAACTTCCTTAACAAAACAGCAGAAAGGAGTTCTTGAATGCCCTTCATCTCCAGAGCTTTTGCCTTCTAGGAACAGCTCAGCTTGCACTGTGGCCTGAAATGATCTCTTTCCTTGACTTTATTTATTGTACTTCATACTTTTCTTTGCCTCATCTTGCTTCCATGTAACATCTCCTCAACACAACTTCCCCAAAACAACAAACAAAGAAATCCCCTCTTTATTGTAGGTCTGTAGATAAATTGTGTTCATAGCACCTTTGTTTTGGTAACTGAAGCAAGAGCAATACAATTATCTGTCTTTCTCTTCCCAAGAAGACAAAGGGCAGAATAACACTGGGATTATTTCCAGATGCACATGGACTCACAGAGGAAAAGCCATTCAGGGCAATTCACACAATACATAATGGATAAGGAAGAAGCCTACTTACTTGGCAACCACATTATATAGTGTAGCCAATCAGCAGAATTGGTCCCACCAACAAACCACACACTTAGTTACTTGTAAACTTGTGTGTTCCTGCTGCAGCAAATTGGGAGTCGAAATGATCTTCCAGAGACAGAAGAGTTGGGTAAAATAAAAAATAAGTTTATTGCCAGGCAATGGCCAGACTCAGGAAACAAGTCCTGATAGACTGGCCTTGAGTTAAGACAGATTCTCCTTTTTATACCTTGCTCGTAGCCTACAGGGTAGCTTAAGTTGTGGCTATACAGAATGTAGCAAGGATGTAGTAAAGCAGCATTAGGCAATTTTCCATGGTTTCAGGGTTGAGGGCTTACATAAACAAATTTCAAAACTGGTTTCTAATCTTTCTGGGAACAGGCCGCCCCACAAGAGGGGGAAGGCCCACCTGGAGTTTCCAAACAGGGACAAGTTGACACAGAGGGGGTCTAAGGGGTGGCCCCCACAAAGTACATGCCCAGTGCATTAAACTGACACAGAGTTCATGAGCAAATATTTTACAGTAATTATCCATTCCAAGTTGTTTGGCAGCTCTTTCTACCTCATTCCCCCTTGTTGTTACATCAAACAGAATCTTCATTGATTTGAACAGGACAGACATAATGGGTTTCTGCTCGCATTAGCATTGGATATGATTGTATGGAATGGACTCTTTCCATTATAAATCTGGAAATCCAATTAATTAAACATGGCCCTACAGTCACCAGGAGTATTATCATGATTATGGGTCCCATCAGGGCCCCTAGCCATGCTTTCCATCCAGTGAACTGCCAACTCCATCAGGAGTTGGTATCCTGGGAACCATACTTAGTTTCCATCCGATTTAACCTTTCTTTTAGTCCGGTCATGGATTCCCTGACTACTCCTGACCGGTCTGCATAATAGCAACATTCTTCTCCTAGGTAAAGACAAGTTGCCCCATACTTCACCGTCAGCAAATCGAGGGCTCTTCTATTCTGCAGCACTACATCTGTCAGTGAGTGAGGATTGAGGCTCCTATTTCATCAAACCCTTTTTGAAAATCTCGGCCTAATGAAAGGTATTGTTGTTGTCCAAGCCCAAGTGCTGCGTGCTGAATACCAGGCTCCCTGCTATAGCTAGTCCTGCTAGGATAGACAGCACAATAGGATTCTTTTTTGTTCTATTTAGTTTTCCTTCAGCGGACCCTATTTGGACAGGAACTTGTCTCAGGGCACTGGGGGAGTATACATTTAGGTCTGGGATACGAATACCTATAGCACAATTATCTTGTACTTCAAGGGAAAAGACTCGATAGAAGCCATCCTTACACACAAAGAAGTCTCCTATTGGAGCACTGAGGTTGGAGTAAGTCCCCTGGATATTGACACAATTTTGGGGGACGTTTGTTAAGGTAGAAATGTTAAACACACATGAGCTATTACTTATCACTTCAGTGGGTTCACTAAGAAGTCAAACTGGTGATTTATCGGTATGGTTTAGGATTCCCAGTAGGGTCAGCCCCAAAGTATGATAGGTGAGCTGCCAGGGGTGCACAGATCCAGCAGTCAGATGCTAGATCTGGGTCAGTAGCCAGAAGCAATCTGTGAGTGTTGTTCATAGTCTGTACCATATCTATCCCTGTGTAATTACTTGGTCTGGACTTAATCTTTTATATTTCTTTAATTATCGGGCTTTCCCTGACTGTTGGCTGAACTGTGGTCCAGACCTTTTTGACTAGCATATCCCAGTGAGTGTCATAGTCATCGCTTCTTATCTAAGTACTTGGGCCAGGCACTAAATAGTAAAGTTGGACCTTCACAGTTTGTCCTTTTAGCCATTTGGGATCCCATGGGTCAGATACAACTACTTTAAGTGGGTCATACTCTGCTTCTTTACAAGTATGGCAATTCGGGGATTGTGTGTTCTCTCCCATTTGAGCCTTTCATTGTCCTTGGAACTTTATAGCCATTCTTGCTTGCCCTTCTGACCTCATTGTACAGTATTGCTGTTCCCAACTATATCTTCCACAATCTATCACTCCCAGCCAGTCTTAGTGCTGGTGTGGGCATCCATCAAATGTAAAGGGCATGGGATATGCTTTGGGTTCCCATTTGATTACCTTGATTAGTTTTCTTTTGGCATCAAAATCTGAAAGATTTGAATATTTAGGCTTGTACATACTCAGTTCAAAGTCCCAATGTTCTGCATTTATCTTAAACATATAAGAACACAGAAAAACGAAATGATACACCAATATGTGATAGCAAGCCAATATTTTTGGCAAGTGCTCCAGTCTTTTGGGACAGGGGTACCCAGAGCAATGCCAAAAAGGAACCCAGTTAGAACTAAACACACAACAATAATAGTATGTATGAAAGTCCCAGACAACAAGGCAGTACAACTATTCATGGGCTTTTAGCCATACGTCAGCCCATTGGCAGGGCTTTGCGAGCATTGTCTCCTTTAATTTCTTCAGCTGTATGTTGACCTGTCAGTTTCTGGAGTGACAGGAGGAGGGCTTTGAGAGTGCCATCTCAGCAGGGTCACCTTCAGTGGGTTTGCTTGATCCAGCTGCCACATCCAGGAGTCTCCTAGATGAAATTTCTTGATTTTTGAATGGTGGATCCAAGGCTGGATTTCTGCAACTTTTACTGCTGTGGGAGTAGTCATAAAAATAACAAAAGACCCTTTCCAAATTGGCATAAGGGAGTCTTTTTTCCAGTCTTTTATATAAATTTGGTCCCTTGGCTCAAATGAATGAGCAGGAGTGTCTGTGGGGATGTTTATCCTTTTCCCCATAATATTTGTGAAGCTGATGAAAAACCTGTCCTAAAGCTTCAAGCTGTTGGGTAAGCATTAGGCTTCCTACTTCTTGTGTATTGTCTCTAAGGCTTTTAATCAGTGGTGGTAGCCTTCTGAAGAGGATCTCATACAGGGAGAATTTTTCTTTGCTAGGCATAGTCCTGATTTTTATCAAGGTGAAGGGTAAAAGATCTACCCAAGGGGCCTGGGTCTCTAAGCAATACTTGGTGAGAACTAACTTTATGGTTCTGTTCATCCTTTCTCTTTCCCTGAACTTTGTGGATGGTAGGTGGTATGTAAGCTCCATTTTATTTTCAGCATTTTAGCCAATTTCTGGACTATTTCTGCTATAAAGGCTGGACCACTGTCATTGCTGATGGTTAGAGGGAGTCCATATCTTGGAATGATTTCTCTTTGGAGGACCCTGTACACTTCTTAGGGCCTTTCTGTCTCAGTGGGGAAAGCTTCAACCCATCCTGAGTAGGTACAGATTGAGACTAAAAGATACCAGTAGCCTTTGCAGGGGTTCACTTCTGTGAAGTCTATTTGCATGTTTTCAAAAGGAGAGCTTCCAGTGTGTTGGATTCTGGGTGCTGGCTGAGGCTTTTGGCTGGGTTCTACTCTACAGCACAGGTACTGCATCTCAGGCAGACAAGCACACAAAGTGTGGAGAGTTGAGGAATGTAATAGTATTTCTGAAGGAGTTTATTTAGAGCAGTTTTTCCTGCATATGTGAGATCATGATATCTCTTGACCCACGCATAGGCTAGGCTCCTTGGAATGACTACCCATCCACCAGGGAGCACCCAGTTGTTGTATTCTCCTTTTTGTGCTTTTTGACTCTGTGTCCATTCATCTTCCTTGTCTGAGTAGTGCAAGTCAGTCTTTTTGGATTCCTCTTGGGTGTTCTGTAGCTTCCCTACAAATTTTGTGCTGCAGTCGGCCACCTTTTTGGCTGCCTCATCCACCTTTGAGTTCCCAAGAGTAATGGAATCTTTCACTTTCTGATGGCCTCTGC